ATGGATGAAAAATTTCCTGACTGATAGAAAAATGAGGGCTGTGATCAGAGGCAATGTATCGGACTGGAGAAATGTCACAAGTGGAGTACCACAGGGTTCAGTTCTTGCACCAGTGATGTTTATTGTCTACATAAATGATCTACCAGTTGGTATACAGAATTATATGAACATGTTTGCTGATGATGCTAAGATAATAGGAAGGATAAGAAATTTAGATGATTGTCATGCCCTTCAAGAAGACCTGGACAAAGTAAGTACATGGAGCACCACTTGGGAATTGGAATTTAATGTTAATAAATGCCATGTTATGGAATGTGGAATAGGAGAACATAGACCCCACACAACCTATATATTATGTGAGAAATCTTTAAAGAATTCTGATAAAGAAAGAGATCTAGGGGTGGTTCTAGATAGAAAACTATCACCTGAGGACCACATAAAGAATATTGTGCGAGGAGCCTATGCCACGCTTTCTAACTTCAGAATTGCTTTTAAATACATGGATGGCGATATACTAAAGAAATTGTTCACGACTTTTGTTAGGCCAAAGCTAGAATATGCAGCAGTTGTGTGGTGCCCATATCTTAACACTTTCGCCCGGGCATGATGCAGCATTGCGTCATCCGTTTACTGTCGGTAATGCCGGGGATGATGCAGCATTGCGTCATCCACTTTAAGGGGGCTTATCACACTAAATTAAAAGTTGTTCAATTTGCTTATAAATTTTTTTATGAAATGGTTATAGAAAGGGCTGCAACTGGTCCAAGTTTCACCATCACACCCTAAACAGTAAAGGAGAAAAAAAATACACAACGTATTATGCAACGAATGTTCAACATTCTCAAATAATCTCAGGAAACACATGTGTCAACTAAAATGTCTACTATGTGCTGTAGAAGCACAAACTCTTGTAATAATTGTAATATGTATGTGCAATATATTTATATGTAATTTTTTTTTTTTTTTTTTTTTTTCTCGTTTGTTATCAAGGGATTTGCATGAAACTTGCACACCTTGCTCAATGGATGCCTATCTGCAAGGGTGCCAATTATGAACGAAATCTGTCGAAGTCAAGCTCAGCTACAGGTGGCCGAACTTGGATCTTTATTTTACTCTGGAAAGTAATTTACAACTTCAAGGCGTTTCTCAGCTTTCATTTATTAATCAATTTACATGCAAATTACACCTTATATGTAGAGTTTGTGCTTCTACAAACCTATTGAGACATTTTAGTCCAAAGTCCATTTGTTGATTTTATAAAAATTTATAAACATCATATATTGCATATTTTTGGAAGGGTAACTTTGAATAATTATATTATTGCACTAAACACTTTTTTGATAAAACTGATCAATACAATCTATTATTATGTGTTAGTTTAATATCTGAGTGTTATAGAAATGATTTTAGTTGACACATGTGTTCCCTGAAATTATTTGAAAATGTTGAAAATTCGTTGCATAATACGTTGTGTATTTTTTTTCTCCTTTTCTGTTTAGGGTGTGATGCTGAAACTTGGACCAGTTGCAGCTCTTTCTATAACCATTTCATAAATAAATTTATAAACAAATTGAACAATTTTTACGAAACCCGTAATATGCCCCCTTAAATAATCGCCAAAAATCAGGTTTTTATTCGATTTTTGGGGGATTTGTTTTAAAATGTGCGCCGATGTCTTCCCATTTTCTTTGTTGAGCCTCGTGGCCCTCAGGCAGCTTGGCACACGCCGTGGGCCCATTGTTTTTGCTCCACTGTTGTGACCAATGTCGCCTCCCCTCGCATCTCAAACGTGTGAACATTTCAGCTATTTTCCGTGGCTATATTTCTTACTGCGGCTTTAGAAACTATCTACGCTTACTCCACGATGGATAGTGATCATGAACAAGGCCCTTCCAGGAAGAAAATTGCGAAAGAAAGACTTGAAAAGGGCGGGAATTGGGAGTGTAGCTGGAAGGCGTCTGAGCGCTCACTTGCGGCTAACGCGTGGCCCGTCTTCAACTCGTCGGCGGTTGGAGCGTGACCAGGTTTTTTATTTTATATGCTAATGTTCCTCTAGAGAATTCTATTGCAAACCCATTGAGACCAAAATGAAAGACCTAGGACGAAAATTGAGGTGACCAGAGTGAAAATAGTGAAAACATTTTATCGCGTTTGTGCGCTCCTGGGTAACTCATTCGCACTTTCTCTGTTTGCTGCGGGTAATTAGCCGGGCTTTTGGAGTTTATATGCATTTAGTGCTGTAGAGAATTCTATTGCGAACACAATTATACCAAATTTAATCTCGTAGGACGAGAATTAAGGTGACAAAATTGAAGAGAGTATACACTTTTCAGAATTTACGCGCGCTCCCGTGACACCCTGGGACCCAAATCGCACAGTTGAGGGGTGGCGCAGGGGGTACGCCAAAGTGTTAAGAAGCACATCAACAAACTGGAAAAGGTGCAAAGACATGCTACTAAGTGGCTCCCAGAACTGAAGGGCAAGAGCTACGAGGAGAGGTTATCTTGAGGTTATCTTGAGATGATTTCGGGGCTTTTTAGTGTCCCCGCGGCCCGGTCCTCGACCAGGCCTCCACCCCCAGGAAGCAGCCCGTGACAGCTGACTAACACCCAGGTACCTATTTTACTGCTAGATAACAGGGGCATAGGGTGAAAGAAACTCTGCCCATTGTTTCTCGCCGGCGCCTGGGATCGAACCCAGGACCATAGGATCACAAATCCAGCGTGCTGTCCGCTCGGCTGACCGGCTCCCTTAGGTTAGAGGCATTAAATATGCCTAAACTAGAAGACAGAAGAAAAAGAGGTGATATGATCACTACATACAAAATAGTAACAGGAATTGATAAAATCGATAGGGAAGATTTCCTGAGACCTGGAACTTTAAGAACAAGAGGTCATAGATATAAACTAGCTAAACACAGATGCCGAAGAAATATAAGAAAATTCACTTTCACAAACAGAGTGGTAGACGGTTGGAACAAGTTAGGGGAGAAGGTGGTGGAGGCCAAGACCGTCAGTAGTTTCAAAGCGTTATATGACAAAGAGTGCTGGGAAGACGGGACACTACGAGCGTAGCTCTCATCCTGTAACTACACTTAGGTAATTACACTTAGGTAATTGCACATAGTCAGAAGACGATGCCACCTCCCTCCCTCCCTCCCTCCCTCAGCATTACTTCTGCCACCATGGAGCATAGCGCTAAGTATCACAATCCTGCTATTATCAGAATCCTGGTCAGTTTTATCACAGTCAAGGGTCTTCTGTAATACTATCATCAATAAATAATAGCACGTACATATATATTTTGACATTTTTAGGCTATGCTGTGATCACAAGCTGAACAGCGGTGCTGTGAGCTCGTGTTGCGTGTGTCAGCCTTGGTCGCTCGATCAGTACTGAGGCTCTCACACCCAAGAATGTTGGCCATGATTTTTTTTCTAGGTGGCGTTGGTCAACTATCGGTCGTGGACTATAGCTGCCCCTATCCTACGCGGGGCATTTAAATTAAAGCGCTAGACACTTAAAGAGCTATTAATGTGTTGCGCGGTATCGGTAAGGTTACTCACATCATATATTATATATATATATATATATATATATATATATATATATATATATATATATATATATATATATATATATATATATATATATATATATATATATATATTGTGACGATAATCTCTTTCAAGAGAGATTGAGCCTGCTCTTCCCTACTTAAAGTTACGTCAGTTCTACAAGTATAAGATGCTATATTCAAGATATGTCACCAGTAGAACAAAACGTTTTGACCAGGAGGCAAAACGTACCCAAGATCCCCCCCTACTCCACACACCCTCCCTGCCGGCTTGTCATCAACCAGCAAACTACCCATCCCAGCCTGCCTGCTCCTGATTGGTGACTCGCCGACCGCGCACCTGCACACTGCACCTCAGCGCCATCTACCTGAGTAGACGTCTGAGCCTGACCAGCTATCAACTTCAGAATATTCTTTGTGCTCTTAGAGTTGACATCTCTCTCTGGCTTTCGTATACTAAGGGAGGTCTCAGCCAAAGCCGATATTCTCAGCACCATTTCACATTATATTATTTAATCTATTGTGTTTTTGCATTTATCTTTGTCATATTATTACACCAGTCATTTACCCGAGATGTCTTTATTTTCATTTATGATTAAAGTAAATATATTAAAGTTTCATTGTTCATACTTTGTGTTTTACGTGTTCCTCCCTCTAACTTACCACAGACAACAGGCAAGCAGTCTATCTTTTTTTTGTAAGTGTGACCAGGCATTGACACCTGCCATTGGAGGACTGCCGAACATCTATACTCCAAAACTTTCCCGTCACAATATAATATATATATATATATATATATATATATATATATATATATATATATATATATATATATATATATATATATATATATATATATATATATATATATATATATATATATATATATATATATATATATATATATATGTATTGTGCAGTCTAAGGGTTAAGGTTTGTCTTTAGACATACAGATTTCAGATGAGAGACAAAGTCGCTCAGGTGAGCAACCTCATCCTCCACCCGGCAGCAAGAACGACACAAGTGCAAATGGATATACAAAACAGATCAAAATATTTTATGAAGGTGAGCCATACATATGCCAGATAATGATTTGCTTGTGATCCAATGATGGAGGAAATAAAGTAATTATACTGTACTGTATATTCAATGTACTGTATATACATTGCCCATATTGTGCGATTACAAAATCTAACTACAAGTACAGTACTGTATTACAAAATATTATTTTCTACATATCACAATCTAAAGACACTGTATCAAAAATAAATATCAGGCAGCTTTATTAAAAAGATCGACAGTTGGAAAGATAATTAAACAAATCTTGTTTTCAACCAATATAAATTGACCCACACATAAAAATTGGACCACAAATAAACGAACATATCTAGCACACTGGGTTGTCTTAACACAACCCACCTTACCCTCTAAAATGTTCAAAGTTTCAAAGTTCAGGTTGCGGCTAAAGGTAAACTTCTCTCGCTCAACAGGGGCACTCAGAACGCGTCCCGGGTGATCGCTTTCTACAGGCCCCCCTAGTGAAGTAAAAACTGCCAGATCCATAAAATGAAGGGACTAACTTAACCCTTAAACGGCTAAGGTAATTAAAAGTCCTACATCATGGTACACATGAAAAGAAAATTCTTTCATAATCCATAAGGATGAATCGAATATGTTCATCTGAGCACGGGGGACAATCATATATAGCGAATGGAGCCGTTTAAGGGTTAAAAAAGCTATGAATGTACTTCAGCTCAATGCAATGACCTTCTCCATCTCAACAGCTCTCAGTGGAAACATATTACTTATTTGTGATAAATTAAATGTGTTCCTACATCTGCTTATCTTACCAACATCAACATATTCCAGCAAATATAATGATAATGATAAGAAATATTTTACTCTATCTCAATTAATAACAAAATATCAGTTAATGGGGAAAAGAAAAAAGTGAAGTTAAGAAAAGCATAACTATCAAGCAATTAGCAACACTAGATGATAATATTAAATGATTTGGTCAATTACTAATTAAGCATAGTAAAACAATGCAATTTACAAGGTTATTATATTATTGTAAAATTATGGCTTTCAGCTAAGAAATAAGAGATCTACAGAGATATGTCATTAATCTTTGCTGTATGACATTAGTTACTGTGTGACAACAGTCACACTCATCTACCTGGAAACAGTGGCATGGTAGTCACACTCATCTGCCTGGCAACAGTGTCATGATAGTCACACTCATCTGCCTGGCAACAGTCGCATGGTAGTCACACTCATCTGCCTGACAACAGTGTCATGATAGTCACATTCATCTGCCTGACAACAGTGTCATGATAGTCACATTCATCTGCCTGACAACAGTGTCATGATAGTCACATTCATCTGACTGACAACAGTGTCATGATAGTCACACTCATCTGCATGACAACAGTGTCATGGTACTTATGCATTTTAGAATTGCTTTTAGCTACATGGATGGCAAAATATTAAAGCAACTGTTCAAGAATATGGTGCTTATAACATCAATGAACTGGAAAAAGTGCAAAGACATGCAACTAAATGGCTTCTGGGACTGAAAAACAAGAGCTACAAGGAGAGGCTAGAGGTATTATATATATCAAAGCTAGAAGATAGAAGAAAAATCCCTTGTTGATATGTAATGAAACGCCACTTTCTTGGTGAGCCCCAGAGGCTCCCTGGAGCTTATAGGGCTAATGTACATTATATTAGACCGGGACATAAGCTATGGAGTTCAGACCAACCAGGGACCAATGCCAGAACCTGGCCCCTTCAGTGAGGTTTCAGGGAGCAATGGCCCTGGAAAACCCCCTTGTGTTTTTTTTTCTCCTTATCTGCCATCGACCTGGGTTAGGCACCCAAAAAGGCAGGCATAACAAAACAAACCCCACATGGTAAATAACTAAAACAAAAAAAATGAACAGAGAGGTAGAAACTTCCTACAATCCCAAGGAAACGAGCAAACATCACACTTTACTGCCGAGCCACTCATCCACGCAGCCCTCCCCTCCCGAAGAGGAAGGGAGGGGGGGGGGGGGTCCTAGACCTCACCGTTCCAGCTGCCTAGCACCAGTTCGGAAGCTAAGCTTCAACCAACGTGAAAAACCACTGACCGGTGGGAGGGAGGGTTGCCAGGGAGCCTCTGGGGCTCACAGAGAAAATGGAGTTTCATTACATTCAACGCTGGTTTTCTGAGGGGAGCCCCTACGGCTCCCTGGAGCTACATACCCAAAGAGAAGGAAAAGAAATGTCTGACCCAGGAGGCGGCTGATACAAACTCTGCAACGCGAAGTCGAGACAAGAGGCAGCAACCTGCAACCCAAAGCAATACAATAACGCAAAGGAGCAGATGCGCTTACAAAATAATGGGCGGCCAGGAACCTGTGCGACCCCCAAATCTTCGCGCCCAAAATGAGCCCAAGACGTCACCAAACACGGCAGCGAAAGCTGCAAACGTCCGAACGGCACGGATGCAAGGATACACCACAAGATGGTAGGCTTAAGAACTCTACAGACGACCTGGGAGACCCGAGCCCTGAAACAGGGAACTAGGGGTCACTGGATCAACCCAAAGCACATCCCCAGCCACGGCACACAGGTAACGGCGACAAGCTGCAATCGGACATGACGCACCCCTGGCCGCACCAACCAAGCATCAATAATCCAAGCTGCTTTCCGAGTCCGGAAAGCAGCCGACTCGGTCGTTGCCAGACAGACGGAGAAAGGCTGCAAACATACAAACCTACAAAAAGAGACAAGGTAGCAGTCCGAGAGTACCACACAAGGCCCAGCCTGGTCCGATTTGGGACGGTACCAGATAGGACTTCCTCCAGTTCACCAGGAACCTGAACCCAACGAGCTGGGGAAAGAACCACATCCCTGGCGAGCAGACAAGCAGACTGGCTGGAAGCCCACATCAACCAGTCGTCAAGGTAGGCCAGGACCCGAACCCCTAACAGATGCAGACAGGTTGCCACGACTTGGGTAAGACACGTGAATATGCGAGGTGCCAGATTTAAAACAAAAGAAAGGCAATGAAAGCGGTAAGCTTGCCACCTTAACACGAAACCTAACCAATTCCTGAACCCCAGATGAATTGAAACGTGCCAATACACATCCCAGAGGTCCAGAAACACCATCCAAGCGCCTGGCTCCAACAGGAGTTGGATCTAAGAAAGAGTGGTCATCTGAAAAGAGGGGCATGGAATCCAAGGGTTCAGACGGAGCAAGTACAAAATTAACAGCAGATTCGCACAGTCTCATTTCAGTACTGGAAACAGGCTGGAAACCCACCTGAGGGATGGGGTTGTTTCAACCACACCGAAGCGCACCCACTCCAAGTTGACCCGATGGAGCACAGGGAAAGAAGCCTGCCCCACCAGCCCTGAACCCACTGAAGAAAGAGGAGCTGCCTAATGCCACCACAGGCGGAAAGAAACAACCTGAAACACACTCAAATTGTGGGACCAGGCGCGAGCAAACAGCATGAGCCTCTCCATCACCCCATCAACGGGGTGACCCACTAAAGGACTGACACCCCTTACGAGAAGCTGGCTGACGAGCAGAGCAATCGCTGTACAGATCAGACGATGCCGGCTCCGAAGGAAGCGCTGGCTCAGAAATTAACACCAATGGTCCACCTCGACCGGAGGAACCCCAAGCCCTGGCACAACCTTTCCGAGCAGGCCGAGAATGGCCACCTCGGAGAACCAACAAGTATGACATAGGGCGACAACTAGACAAGGCTGCCTACAGAAACTGCACGATAGCAGGTTCCACAAACAGCAACAGACAAAAGGGTGACGAAAACCTTAGAGGCAGGGCCCAAGCAGATTCCAAGGAGAGCGAGCGAGCACAGCCTGCCAGAAAAACCCATGCCATGTTCCATGCAAAAAGAAAGGGCAGTCTGCCAGCCAGATAGATTCCAGGACCTCATAATGCATACAATACTGGGTAGAAGAACCGTACTCAAACGAGGACAGGTCCATCACAGAGGCAGAATCCGGGTCTCACAGGAAGTGCATCGCAAGAGCCTCTCGAACCTTCTCAGGCGAGATTTGAGAGGCAGGAAACCTCCAGAAGGAAGGAGCCGAAGAACCCAATGGAACCCGGAACTGAACCTGGGAAGGAGCCGACCCTAAATCATACTCGTACAGGGAAGGCGGGTGAGAAAACCCCTCCCCCCTGCAACAACAAGCCCGCGAAGAGGGCACCAACACCCAAGCAGGATCAAAGGGGGTCCAAGCCCCCCAGGTCAACTCCCCAGCCCGGGAATCCTCCAAACCAGGACCCAGGGCAGAGCAGTCTTCCATACTCTCCACCCCTGAATAAAAGGCAGAATCCATGGGAAAGGTTGCAAAAAAAGAGGGTCTGCTGGTAGGACCCAGAAGCAGGCTCGAATGTCTCCATCCCTAACTCGAATGGGGCAGCCCTTGAAGCCTCCCCTCCCTCCCAAGTCTGCCAACTAAACCCCGCCCCGACTCCAAAACCCTTAGACATTTTGGAGCGGGGAGCTGGGGACGGGGGAAGGGAAGAAGGACAAACCACGCCAACTGAGTAAAGACTAGGGAGTGGACTGAACCAAAGTCGAAGCAACAAATAATCGTACCTTTGCCCGAAACACTATGCGTACTAGTTGCTTTAGGTATTGTATGTACTAGCTCTATCTATAAATCCAACATTATGTTTGTAAATCAACTATGTATGTACTTTCCTGAATAAAATTACTTTACTTTACTACTTTACTTACTACTGCCCCCAAAGTTTGGGGTACCTATAGCCAAAATGGGGCAGCCTCAGGGCATCCAAGTGGGCAACCAGCCTAGCACGTTGCAGCAACTTAAACAGAGCATGCAACATGGATGCCGCCTGTACCCGAACATCAGTGATAATAGAGTGGGTAAATTGGAGCACGAGCAAAGAACACGTCTCGCAAGACTACGGGTCAAAGGTGTCGTTGACCCAACAGACAGCATGACAGAGGTAAAGGTGACTGTCACCTCCGAGACAGCGTACAGAGCAACCTTCAAACTCGCACAATTCAAGCTGGAGTTCAGAAGACACATCCATCAGTCTACTGAGCCCAGACAGGGGGTTTCCAGGGCCAGTAGGCTGACTGCTACAGAAAGCCCAGTCAATGTGCTACAAAGCCAGTGAAACCCAAGAGCTATCAAAGGGGAATGAGCTAAGAACTGAACCCCTGCAACATGTACAATCATGGGGCCCTAGAGGAAGGCCACTAACAAACCTTAAGTGGACCAATAATCAAACAAGGCAGACCCCCTCCTGGCGAGGAAATAATAAAGAAAAGAAAAACTCTGCAAAAGTACAACGTTTCCAGAAGGAACAGGCACACAGCTGTCACGTAGGTAGGCAAGCTGTGTAGCATCTATGCTCCAACCAGCAACAATACCACCTCCTACCAAAGTCCAAACAAAGGCCACAAAACCTCAGCTGGCCCCAAGGGCAGGGTAAATGCTGAGCAGCAAGAACCCTTATGGAAGCAAAGTACCGA